GCTTTAGAGGGGGGAAGAGGCTAGTGCATCACATCAGAAACAATGGACTCTTGTTCAGGAAAGGGGGGAAAAAGAAACAAAGAAGGATAAGATAGCTGTGACTCGAAAAATAGAGACAGATAGTGAGATATCACAGTAACCAAGTGAAGGGAAACCTTATTTACACAGTTAATAAGAATGGTACTCTTGGACAAAGTCAAGAGGGGTATTTCTGATCTGCCAGTCAAGCCACAAATATTTACTGAGTAATAGCTGTTCTGCCTTGAACTGTGCCTTAGGCACACTGAGGAACCCAGCCTCTTCGGGAGAGTTAGTAAATGCACTTGAACCAATTCATAAAACAAATTGTGAATAGAAGAATATGGAGCTAGCTGTGTTATGAAGAGTATATGCAATTGAAAAAAAGTTAATAAATACATCCAGGGTGCTCAAGACAGCTTCCTGGATGGTCTTTAACTTGGAGGAGGATAGAGAAGGCTTAGATATGTCCACACTGTTTGGCCCACTGGTGTTGTTTGAACTTGATGAGACTTTATGTTCCACCATTAAGGGCTAACATTCAGAGCAGCTCATTTTACAGCCTACTGGATTTGATGGGTTTGCAGGTGAAATAGCCTACAGAACGCAAAGCCACTAATCCCTAGAGATGCAGCCTTTGGCTGGAGATTCTGAAGGTTTTGTGGGTAATCTTTCATAGCGGTGCCCCACCTCCCTCCCAAACCGTCACAGGAGCATTCTGCTGGTAAATGCGATTCTTCATGTTCCTCCAAGAGTCCTTTGAGTGGATGCAGGGAAATAACACGAGCCCATTATCACAGATGTGGAAACAGTGTGATTGGGATTCATGCATAAACATGTTAGTGGAAGAGTCTGGAATAAACTTGGCTCAGTTACTGGCACTACTATCTGTCCTAGTGATGAGATGTTGAGCTAGAGGCTTCCTGTGGCCTGAGCAATGAAGCCACCATTTCACCATCACTGCCGTCTGCTCATCTCTGGGTAATAGGTATTGAGGAAATTTACACCCTGTTTGCATAATGCTTGGTCTCCTTTCTTGTTTGTTCTGTTGTTGCTGTTTGTTTAGTTAACTTGACTGAACTTTCTCATCTCGAATACAAGAATGACAATACCTGTTTCCCATGGTTCTCATGAGGATTGGCCAAGACAATATATGGGAAATGTTTTGCACTGTGCTCCTGCTATAGTAGTCTTAAAATAATAGCAATAGTAGTCATGATCAAGGTCACATAGAGAATGAGCTGGTGGTGTGCCCTTTTCTGTCCTGGATAAAGATAAGAGACAACATCCTCAGCAATATCCACACAGAGATATGGCAGATATTGATTTACATGCCTGCCCCCTCTGCATAAGCAGTGTCCCATTCAAGCCTCAGTTTTCTTAGCTTTAAAATGAGCAAGACAGGGGTGTGTGGGTGGCTCAGTCAGTTAAGCGTCTGCCTTCAGCTCAGGTCATGATCCCGGGGTCCTGGGATTGAACCCCGCATCAGGCTCCCTGCTCAGTGGAGAGCCTGCTTCTCTCTCTCCCTTTGCCCCGCCCCCTGGCTCGCGCTGTCTCTCTCTCTCTCTCTCTCTCTTAAATAAATAAATAAAATTTAAAAATAAAATAACATAAAATGAGCAAGACAATCCCCTCAACACAGGGTCCCTGATTCATCCTTCTATCTATTTTTCTTTCTATTGAGGTCACCATTCATCAATTCAATAAATAAGTTTAGGGAGAACTTATTATGTATCAGACATTGCATTAGACCCCGAGTCAACCTTAGTGAATTAAACAGATATAAGTCCCTGGTCCTCATGAAGTCTAGAGTCTAGGGATGTGAATAGCAAGCAAGGAAATATATGTGTATTTTATATATAATCACACAAAGAGAATTACAGGCCATGATAAGAGCAACAAACCCAAAAAGATTGCTGTCTGGGTTAAATGAAATACTGTATGTGAAAATGCATCAAAGGCTATAAAATGTAGACCTTCAGAGACTCTTAATTTTGACTAACGTAACACCTGCTATCTTTGTAACAGCCAATGGCTACTGCACATGCCCAGTGCATGACGCTTAATGGTGACACCACCACCATTGCTTTTTCTCTGGGGCTTATTTCAGAAAGGAGAGTGGAAGGGAACTTTCTGTTGAGTTTATAATAGCAATTATGGGCTGATAAGGGTAGACCATTCATCAAACGATCATACCTCGGACTTTATCTCTTTGGGTCAAATGCTTCCTGATTGATATTGACTACCATATCTTAAGCAGCTTTGAACAGATAAGAAGCTAGAAAAGAAATTCCTTTGAAGGAGATTTGACAAAATTATGTTTTCAGATTTTTTTTTCTTTAAGAAGAGAGATTAACCTCTCATTGTTCTTCTAAAAGACTACAAAAGCTACCAAACCATTGAGTTGAAGAAAATCTAGAAGAGTTTTCATGGGTAGATATTGACTGAGTTCCCACTGGATACAAATGATCATCTGTATCGATGTTCTTTTCTTGTTTGGAAATTGTTTGGAAAGAACTTTCAACATACTGAGAATGACCCTATACCACAGATACTTAGGAGTAGACAATTGTCCCAAGAAAAGATAACCCCTTGATGGCTGTATAGAAACAGCCCTGCTAGAAAGAGAGCTGTAAGCAAAAGTCTTATAGGTTAAATATAATTCATTTTCATAGAACATTATTTGTAGAAGCAATGTTTTAAAGGCAGGGAGGGTAGATTTCTGACCGTGGGCCTGATATCCAGCTTTTAATTGAAATGACCATAAACATTGTAATTAATCAACTATGTACTCAATTATAAAGTACATAATTATATTCTGAACAGTAAAAAGCCTCCTAAAGTGTATAGAAATCAATTAAACAGGGCAATACAGTAACCGATCACATAAAATTATATTTAATGAGATGTGTCATCTATCACAGTGTTTTCCACATAGTTCTTATCATACATCTTTGTGATTCATCTGTGCCTTCTTTCTTGCTGCCACGAAGCTCACAGTGAAGGAACCTCTTTATCTTGGCTATAGAATTTAGTGACATTATTTTGAGCAGACATATGTAGGTATCTTTAAAGAGAGTTTGGAGGGGGGGAAGATTTTGGATCATCTCTAATGGCTTTTGGGAAGGATGACCTGGATTTGTCCGGGTGCCTTTACTTGTTACACATTTCCCTATAGCAAGTGCGGGCATTTGCATTTCTGGTCTTGCTACCGAATCCACAGTCTGCATCTGTTGCCTTGAAATTAGCTAGATGACCTACGTTTGTTTGCGTACATCTGCAATAGTTGCTAGATGTGACAACAGAGGTGTAATTAGAAAAACATGCTAAATACAAATCCTCCTGATCACGTCACTGCGCGTTGAGAAGCTTATAAGGTGTGACTTGTGACCAAATCGTGGTGCCTATGTTAGCAGAAGTCCTTCTGTGTCTTCCATGTATAATCAAGCAGATCATTGCAAGCAGGCTGACCCAGGGCCAGTGGGACTGTGGCAGAGGAAAAGTGTATTTGCATCTTTAACTTTGGCAAATTGGGAAGACTTCTAAACATTTTTGATATACTCTATAATGGCTCTCATCAAGTGGATGCTCAAGAGGTGTTTGTATCTGGTGAGGATACACCAAAGACCCTGGTCATGCAAATTCTGACATGTACCTCAGAACGGATAACAAAGAAATAACTGAGTAACTGCTAATGGTCTGGCTTTCTAATAAGGTGGTGATGCCACCCCTTTCCCTCCTCCTCACTCCTTTCAGACCCCGAATGGCTTTTCCATAAGCGATGTCGACAAGTCTCTCATGCTGAGTAATTACACCCAATCCTTGCTGCAGGAAACAGAACCATACAGAACCACTGGCCAGGGCAGGACTGCCAAATGGTGTGACCTAAAGGCCTTCTTCTCCACCTGTCTGGGAGCTCACATGGTTGTTTTGATCCCCACTTTCCAGCATCACTTGCTAGCAGATACTTGGGGTGTGAACAGTTTGTTCATTTATTTGTGTGTCCAAACAACATGCTCTGATAACCAACTATGTAATTGTGCGTTGCCCTACGTGAGGACACGGGGCTAATGCAATCAGGAACTCAACACAAAGCGAACCTCTGAGGCGCTCACGTGCTAGTGGGGGCACCCTTGAATTAAACAGACACTTAGTATCTAAGTACTGTCTTGAAGTATTTAAATAGCATTTAAGTGCTGTGACAGAGCTAAGTGAATCCTTCTCTGATTCAGTAGGCAAAGAGGAAGATACTTATTCTTTTTTTAAATTTTGATTATTCCCTTGAATATTTTACTGGAACTAATGTAATTGAGGGACTGGCAAGTTTTACAAGTGACTAATATATTAATCCCACTCTTCCCTGCTGCCTTGTGGGATTGTCAGTTTAGTCAGGGCTTAAAAATGGAACTTGATGAGATTTGCTCTAAAGATGTTGACTAATACCAATTAAACCCCTAAACATCACACACAGATTGATTACACCTTTTTCACTTTTTTAAAGACCCAAAGATGCACCTAGTTAATAACCTGCTCCATGTCCTTAATAAAGAGCAGGCTAATTAAAAATTGTTTGCTAGCTGAAAATGAATAAATTAAGAATCACATATTAACACAGCCCTCGTCAGCCCGCCGAAGGAGCTGAACATGGGCTGGTGGGGGATGAAGGGAGTAATTGTGAGTCCTTTATCACTGAGCATGACATGTATAAATGTAGCGCCCTGTCACAGAGATGTGGGTGCTGGGGTAAGAAGGCCCTGGGCAGGGCAGGCAGCCAGGTGAGACTTCCCCTGTGTTCCTGATACAGAAGCAAAGGGTGGGACACAGAACGGAATGTGTGCTTCCTCTCTTGCTCTCTCCATCTCTCCTAATCCTGCCTAACCATCAGGCCATCCTGCCACGAGTCCTGCACCCACCCCCTCAAATCCCTCTGTATGTCTCCCAAAAGCCTGCAGCATAGAGAGTCTCCACCACGGTGATGCATCGGTCCCATGGTGTCTGGTCAGAGGACAGCAGCTCCCCCAGCCCCGGTGCTCTGTACAGCCAGCCATCTGGGACTTTCTTAGTTCCTTGAACTTGCTTTCCTCTCCTTGGACTATGTCTCTGTCTTGGTATGTGTCTTTCCTGGAAGAGCAATCTTCTCCTTGTCATCTCCCCCCTCAAACTGGCCAACCTCTTCGGTCCTGCCGACCTCAGCTTACACATCACTTCCTCAAAGAGGTCTTCCGCGTGCTTCCAGGAGGTGAGCCCCCCTGCGAAGTTCCCAGAGCTTCTCTTCTTACTTGTTGACAGCACCTACCCATCCACTTTCCCAGAACTTCAGCTTCGTGAGAGCAAGGCCAAGGGAAGTCTTGGAAACCCTTGTGTCCCTGGTACGTAGCCTACATATCCTAGGTGACCAGTGACTGTTGAAGGACTATGCCAGAACTCCCAACAAACAAGCTTGGTTCTGTTTCCCTAGAAAGCAAGAAGTGGGTCTCGTGTTTCTTTGGTGACCCTCATGAGACAAATTGGTGCTCAAGAAATATTTGTTGCAAATGATTCTTCGTTGTGGTATTATATTTACCTTAGCGAGGAACGAGAGGAGTTTCCTTTAATAATGTGTGGGACAGGGAAAGAAATGAATGAGCGCAGGCTTGTTTCTGTCTTAGTTCGAAGGAGTTATGTAAGCACCAAAGGGCCAGTTCACAGTATGGAGTGAGCAAGAGTGTGTTAAGTGCATGCCAGTGGTCCCTGCAATTGCTTAGCAGCTTCTCCCCCTGGACCTCCCGTCTGAGGGAATGGAGGCCGCTCCCCGTCGGTCCTGGGGTGGGCTGCTGTGCAGAGGCAGGTAGCGGGGTGCCAGCAAGGTGAACTCGGACGACACACGGGTCTGGGTCTCAGTCCCCACTCACTACTACATACCAGCTTTGTGCTCCCCGGCAGTTGCTTTATGTCTCTAAGCTTCAGTCTTCCCATCCTTAAATGGGCATTAGTGAGGGGCGCCTGGGTGACTCAGTCAGTTAAGCGTCTGCCTTCGTCTCAGGTCATGATCCCAGGGTCCTGGGATCGAGCCCTGCATCGGGATCCCTGGCCAGCAGAGAACCTGCTTCTCCTTCTCCTTCGAACCCTCCCCCTGCTTGTGCTCCCTCTCTCTCTCTCACTCAAATAAATAAAATCTTTAAAATAAATTGGCGTTAGTGATATTACCCACCTCAAGGGGAGATCATATGAGGATTAAGTGCACATAAAGCTCTCAGCACAGTGCAGAGCATGGAACGCTTGTTAGAGATCGATAGCGTGTACCACAACTCACCTAAGTCGAGGGAGATCTGCGAGCCTCTATCTGCTCTCTGGAAGTGCTTGTGGGACAGTTTGAGGTGGCAATAGGGACACAGAGAGGCCTAGGATTGATCTGTCCAGAATATTCCAGAGCCATGATGTTCTTGCATCTGTTTTCATTCTCTTCCCCCCCTCCCAGCCCCCTAACCCTCGCACACACCGGCAGACGCTCTCCGTTCCAGGTGCACCATGCCCTCTCTTCTCTCTGTGGATTCCAAAAGTTAACTCAAAAGTTTAATATCATATTTTTTATTTAATGTAATTTTATCTCTGATCAGAATCTCTTTTTTTCTCCGTGTTTAAGTCTATTATCCTCAAATATTTTTCAAAATTGATTTCATAGGGGCGCCTGGGTGGCTCAGTTGGTAAGCGACTGCCTTCAGCTCAGGTCATGATCCTGGAGTCCCTGGATCGAGTCCTACATCGGGCTCCCTGCTCAGCGAGGAGCCTGCTTCTCCCTCTAGCCCTCCCCCCCTCTCATGTACTCTTTCTCTCTCTCATTCTCGCTCTCTCAAATAAATAAATAAATCTTAAAAAAAATTGATTTCATAGCAGGGGGTGCCTGGGTGGCTCAGTTGGTTAAGTGTCCAACTCTTGCTTTCGGCTCCGGTCATGATCTCAGGGTCCTGGGATTAAGCCGCTCCTCGGGCTCTGTGCTCAGCTCAGAGTCTGCTTGTCCCGCTCCCTCCCCCTCTGCCCCTCCCCCTCTGCCCCTCCCCCCACTCTCTCAAGTGCATGAGCACATGCATGCTCTCTCTCTCTCTCCCCCCAAATAAATAAATAAATCTTTAAAAAAATTGATTTCATAGGAAAGACATAATCCTTGATTGGAATTAACCAAGTGAGAATATATGGCCAAGGAATGGTGGGAAGATGAATCTAAGACCCAGGAATAATAATAATAGTAGCAGTAGTAGTAATAGTACTGCTGTTGATGCTGCTTATATGCCATTTACTATGTGCCAGGCATTATTCTAAACCCTGAATCATTTTCTCCATTTTACAGATGATGAAACTAAGTTACCCATGTGAACCATATAGTGGAAAGAGTATGTAATTAGCTTAGTTTGCCCTTAGGACTCTGATGGAAAATTATTTTTCTTCACTTAATATCAAACAAGAGAAGGAGATCACATTGCCACAGGTTCTACCTTTGTTTAGTTTAGACGTTTGACTCAATTTATGGAAGTCTGTCTTTGTAGCTTGATCATAACATTGGAATGTCAAAAAAAAAGTGCAGGGAAAACACACTATCAAATGAAGTCTGCATTTACTGGTAAGAAGCACAGAGCATTTGGCATCAGTGGAAAGCATAGTCTTTGATGTGGAAAATAGAAGAGTTCTTGCTGTTTCCATTTGGGTCAGAGAAAGAGACGATCGCTATATGATAAGTTTGGTGGGTTCTAAAGCTAGATGTAATAAGTGACAAGCCACAAGTTGTCCTGCCCCAGAGGATATGCAAGGATGAAATACACATGTCAGGAAAAATGTGGTCAGTGAGGAACCACACAACAGGAAAGCAGAGAATATTTAACAAGACAAGTCCCTGTTATCCTGGGAGTGAGACTTGAAGAGGAGGCGATTTACCTCTTTGAGTGGGGGGCTGAAGAGGGATGATGGAAGAGACAGTGAGTAGGGGAGTAATTTATGGTGAATCATCTTACCCCCTGACACACAGAAGCCAGGACAGCTGCCTAAGGAGGAAACATTTTATTTTAGGTATGGCAGTGTCCTCGGTTTTAAACAATTTTCCCCTGTTTTTGAAAGTGTTCACACAATTAATGCCTCTTGCATGTATTCAACAATAGTTGCCTAGCAACCATCAAGAAGCATTTTTGGAGCGCAAAGGGTCTAAAAATGAATGAAGAGCAAATACAGTTTGAGTTGTGGCTGAGATGACTGGATTTCAAAGTAGATCCCCCAGGAATCAGGCCACGCATCTTTAAGAGAAATGAGATCTGGTCTGGCATCCTTGGAGGCCCACTGAAATGTCCTATTCATCTTGGACACATGCAAAGGGAGAATATGTAAAAAATAAGAGAGACCTCTAAGTGAAGCTTGATACACTTTTCTGCCTTCAGGCAGGACTGCTTTCTACCCAATCCCAAATGCATGTGGAGATAATGAAGTTGTGGAAAGCCCTTAAGAAGAAGGATGATAGCTCCTCCTCTGGTAACCCACTTTAGGATCTTGTAACCTTTGGACTGAGACGACTAGGTAAAGAACATGGGTTAATCAAGGAACTACCTCTTCTCTGCAGGTTACTGATGTATACCCTTGGCTGGCTCTCATGATCATACCTCATTTGAAATGAAAATCTAAATGAGCTTCCAGATCAGAAGTCACAAACGCGGGTACTCTGAGGTGTCAACAGGGAGCTCAGGGGGAGAGGGGCAGGTGAAGCCCTATAAAAAATCAGGAAGCACTGGGTGCCCAGGCTCTGTCGAAAGGAGCTGCTGTTTTCAGCTCCAGTCTTTTGCTGTGTTGTAGGAGTATGAGCCCAGTGTTGTCAGATCTCTCAACTCTTTAAGAACAGACAGACATACTGATTTTTATGTGAAAAATCATTTTAGATTGATGACAATTATTGACAAAAACTGCCCGAGCCAAACAAACTCTGGCACCAGGCAGATTTTGTCCATGTACTAGTCTTGTCTAATAAACCCCTAATGTTATAGATGAGGAAACAGGCCTGCTGTTCTTCAATTCCATGAAAATGTGAACTCGTTAAAGTCAGGAATTGCGTTACCTTCTCTGTTTTATCCCCAGCTGGACTAGCCCAGGGTCAGGCCTGTGATGGCGAATGCAACAGATATTTATTGAGTCAACAAATAGTAGATGTGAGAAACAAAACCAGGACTTGATTTGGCCAGTAAGAAACCAGGATCTTAAATGCTTCTTAAAGGACTTTTTTCTCCTAAGAGACCTTCCCCTACTTTCACATGGATAGAATTTGATCTTCTCTTTTGCCACATCACAGCCTTGTTTAAAGCGAGATTTGATTGATACAAATTGTTCTTATAAAAACCCAGAGGAAAAGCCTTGTGTACCCTGTGTGGGTTTCAACCTTCCCACAGATTTGTCTGTACTGGGACAGCTATGAACATGAGGTCGCTTTTCTTCTTGGCCCACCATATGCAATTCCATTCCATTGATTGTCTGTTTATTGAGCCCCGACCATGTGCAGAGTCCTCTGTATGGTGATTCTAAGGTACAGGGGATTCCGATGAGCCTGGGGGCCTCAGAAATGTTGAACAATTCATTTAGAGAATGAAGATACTTAGCATAGTCTCTTTTTTATTTTCATTTTAATGTTTTCTGATCCTATTTTGGCAACACTTTACTGTGTGGCAATTTTCTTTCTTCACTTTTTGTGTTAAGATTTAAAGTGGTCTAAAACATAGAATCAATTATTACCAAGACATGTTCTCCCCCTTTTAACAACCTACTTATTGCCTCTCTGATGAAAGGCTCTGCCAGAGTAGACGACAGTCAGCCTCCGAGGAGGTATACCAGGGGTTTGTGTCAAATGATCCTCTAGCTTTCATTGTACTTATTCTTTCTTGCTGGGTTCTACAAGGTGCTTATCTCTGTGCTGAAGGTTCAGATGTTTCCAGAGTGACAATAACTCTCCCACCAGAGAACCACTGGCCTCTTGAAATGCTTAAAGTAATGTACTCTTCCCTTGTGTCTATGCCTATAATAGTAATAATAATGGCATCCACCATTTATTAGTGTCTTCTGGGTACTAAATAATGTGCCAGGCATATTGTCTCATTTTATCTCATTCATAGTCTTTCTCCACCATTCATAATCTTTCAAGAGAGAGATACAATCCCGTTTTGATAAATGGGCAAACTCAACCCCAGCGAGAGATGATGACTTGCCTGAGGTCATATTGGTTGCCGGGTCCGTGAAGTCAATGAACAGCTACCTGTTTTTCGAAGTCTGTGCCCTCTTTACTTCCTTGTGAAACGTGGGGATCCAGAGCAATTTTACCACCTTCCCCAGTGTTTCGGAGACAAAAGGAAAGATGCTGGATCGCTTTTTCAGAAGCAAACTCTAGGGGACATTTTAAACAAAGTAGATGATTTTGCATGAGACTGTGTTTAATTTCAGAACAGTGTCCTTTGCTGGCGAAGATAATCAGATGTAATGTCATCTGCAACCTCTCTGCGTGCGTGATTTCATAAAACTGGTGTAGCAGTTTATTATTATAAAATTAGTATAGCATAGAACAAACCCGGGATGCAAGCCAGATGAAATAGACAATGAATAGTTATATAAGGTTTTGGAAGCACATGTAGTAGAACACAAGCTCACTGTATTTTCTTCTCAATTGTCTGCTGTTTGTTCATGTTTCCTTTTCAACATGATTGCATCTCAGTTTAATAGCACTTGCCATCTCAGGCTTTATGGTGCCAGGCCTGACATAGTTACATCCCCTCTGTGCTAAAAATATTGCATGTATATATTCAACCGCAGCCCGACATGTTTAGCTAATGGATTACTCGGAGCTGTGCGCTTATATAATTAAGTGATGTATGTAATTTTGTGTTAACACATTTGCAATGTGTGTTTTCCTGGTGATTGCAATGCTTTATTCTGTGTAAAGTGTGACATTTTAATTCCCGCTGAACAATTTCCTACCTTGATTCGCCTTGTTTTTGTGGCAGGGGATTATTTTGCAATCAAGATAAAAGCATTATTTATGAAATTTCTGGGCTATCCCATTACTGGGAACTTTTAACTGAAGATCAATCTCCTATTTTATTGATCCCTTTGTTAAAAATCTTTATTGGAGTTTAAATTTAATCTCTACATTATAGATTTGCCCAGACTTTTGTCTGCAGGCACATTTTTTTTTAGGCAGCCCTGCAGGGATGGGGTTCCTTAAAAAATAATTCTCACCAGGCAGTCTGCCATCTTATCTTCCCCTGGGAACTTAATTTCTCTTTTCTCTTTGGTGTCACTGACTTTTTCCCTGTTGAAGGTTCTCCGGGAGAAAGAGCATCTCTGTGGGTTGGAGGGTCTTGGCAAACCAGGTCAGATCCATAGATTCACAGACAGGGCAGATTTCTGTTAAGCATTTAAGTGATTGACAGGAGCTGGGCCTCAGAGTTACAGAGTGGAAATTAAAATGTGGGGGGGATACACTATTTCTCTTTATTAATTGTAATCGTGACCAATGGGAGGTGCTAGAGACAGGAAGGTGAGCCGCCAAGGGCAACCCAGCCCCCTTGCCCGCTGCAGAGGTGTTTATGTTCTCCGGTGGGATCAGCAGTTTAATAAATATTTATTAGACTCTTACTAAGTACCAGGCAGTGCTTTCAAAATATGGTACAGAGAGACTCACTTGTTCAGTAAATGTTTATTGAACACCTACTCTAACCAGGACCAGAGTCTGGTGAGGGAGAGAGACCTACAATTTCAATATGGGATGACAGCAGCTAGGATAGAAGCCTGCATGATGGAGAAGCTGAGGACAAAGAGTTCCTCCTCCAGCTGGAGGTGAGGGAAATAAGGAAGATTTCGAAGGGGGTGGGATGCCCAGTGTCAGTCTAGGAGAAAAAGTGAGAGTAGGGGCAGGAGGGAGGGACAAAGGTGGAAAAGGAAGGGTATTGTCAGAGGGAAGCCTGTGAGCATGGGCACGCAGGAGTAAAGCCATGAGAGGTCTTGCGGCCTCTAAGGCATCGCTCCTGTTGGAAGATAGCGAGGCCACTCCAAAGTAAGGTCTGCGGTGGTCTGTTGTCCTGGCCCCCAGAGGTCCTCAATGCCCCTCATCCAAGGAAGCCCCCTTCATTTTTCAACATAGCCCAACGACAGCAAGCAGGTGGCACGCACTGATGCCAGTGCTGGACGGTCGCCCCATGGCGTCCCACGTGCTCGCCTCCTGGTCCCTCCCGTTCGGGCCCGAGCACTCTTCTCTGTGGTACACAGAAGTTTCGGCCAGGAGGACCCACAGGCCGTGCGCTCCAAGGGAGCTTTCTCGGTTGTATGTTTTGGCATTTGAACACAGCGGGAATGTCCTTGTCAGCTCCCATTTGACTTTATTAATTGCAGTTCCTTGGAAAGTGTGTTTTAGTAATGCGGTCTTGGGATGACGGAGCCCGCCCCGCGGAGACCAGAGAGGAGGTATTCAGGGCCCATTGAAAAGCCATCTGCTGTTGATGCCATGCAACCAACAGACAGCAGTGTCTCTGGCAGTCCCGACACTAGCTGTGTGACTTCAGGCAGAACTGCAGACTCTCTGGGCCTCCCTTCTTTGGTGTGTCAAATAAGAGTTTGGACTAGTGGTATCTAAGGTTCTTCTTAAACTCTGGAATTCCAACATTTTCTAAGTTACTCAAATGAAGAATCCTGCTGTCCTAACACCTGTGGATTCACCAGCACCTAGCAGTGATCTGTGGTTCCAAATTCCTTTGAAAAGCCAAGAACCGCTTTTTGTACTCCATGCCTTGTAATGATTCTCTGGCTCTGTATTTGAGGAGGGGCTCGTCTGCACGAGCCCTCGAATCTCGATTTTCATTTTTTAAGATACAAAGGGAATCATTAAGCCTCTGAACGTTCCTAGAATATATGGCAGTATGGATCAAGTAACCCATTTTATGAGTCCTGTTGCAAGACGCTGTCACCTAGAAGCTCCGTATTGTTTCCAGGCCCCACCCCCCACCCCCACTTCCCCAAGCCCTGAGGCTGTGGTTCATAATGTCAAAAGAATGTTTTAAAATTGCTCTTCTGTTGATTCCAAAGAGAGCCCTCACGTGGCTAGAGTCCTGGGCTAGGAGTCAAATTCTAAATTTAATTCCAGCCTCTGTGAATGTCTTCGGTTCTCGCCTCCTTACCATTGATCAACGATTCAGTTTCCTCATCTGCAAAATAGGCATAAGATGCCTTGCTCCACAGAAGTGTTTGCAAACAGCTTCATTGTACCCCAGGATTTGCTTTATATCGGGGCAGAATATAATTTTCCATTCCATAATAGGAACAAAACAAAAGCCCTTTTGAGTGTGCACCTTGTGTAAACGCCCTGTGCTTAAATTCTGATCAATCTCAGAGGTCAGCAAATCCCCACCCCCTTCTTTATTTTTTTTTTTTTAAGCTAAACGAGGCTAACTAGGGAATTCATTTTGGAATAAAAAGACATGAAAGAAAGGGTATTTCAGTTTGCACAATAGTACAAAGAAGAACAAGAATCATGTTTGCTAAAGAACTCACAGCTGTTTAATTTTATATTAAAATTACTTTAAGAACTTTGCTAATTCAGAGACAAAACCAAACAACTATTGTTGCAAAACTGAACTTCCACGTGTGAATGGAAAAGCCAAGATGAATCTGCCCCTAAACTCATTAAACTCAAATTTAAAAATACAGAGCATTTTTGTGAATGCAGGTTAGAGGAGCGGCTTTTATCTAAAGAGAAGGCACGTGAAGAAGGAAATGGTACATTTGCGGTAATATGATGAAAAATAATTTATGTTCTCATGTACTTTGCCCCCAGCTTTTTCTTAAGCCGCTCAGTCTGTTTTAATACCAGGTTTGTTTGCTTTCTGGGGATGGGCCTGTCAGGCAGGATATTGTCGAAAGACGTACAGCAGAAATTTTAAATGGTGTTTTTAAAAATTAAAATTAAATACCAAATGGAGTAACCAATTATTAAATTTGGAGTTCAGATTTTTATAAAATTTTATTTCTAGAGGCTCTGAATGAATGGTGTACCTACACTTAGCTCTATACATTCCAAGTTTCCATATGTTGCCTATTGTCAGAAACAAATAAGCTGTTCCTTATTTTTTTTAAGTGATTTTCTTCCATATTAGGGAATTATTCAGACTTCTTTCCTTGGTTCCTATAATTCCAAACCAGTTGGAACATCAGTCTATTTTTGGTTATGAAGGAACTTTTAAAATGTGGACATGATTTTTTTTGAAGTTTCTAAATCTCATAAAAATCAGTTTGCTGCATATATAACAGTTATGGGAGTAAACATAGTGAAGTTATCATATGCCCGACAAAGTTCTAATTTCCATATTCTAGCCTCCCCCCCCCCAGGTCCTTCCCCTCTAATCCCACTCCGCATAGGAGGGCTGCTAAATGTAAATTCTGAAACCCATACAACAACATAAGTTTGTGATTTGTGACTGTGTCTGTCAAGGATGAACGTGCTTACCTGTATTCGATTAAACCCTGTTAGTTTCTGGGTTTGTATGGTCTGCCCACCACATCACATAGATTCACCACGAGAGGGCAACCAAGAGTTGACTTTCAAGCTAACAAAGCTAGAAAGGGTTTTAATATCAGCTAAGTGTTTTCACTTGCTAAGGATTTATTTCCCCGCCTTCCGATTGCCACATGCAGCCTCCAAGTTTCAACTAACAGCGAATAATAATCCAAATAAAGTTCTTCTGAAGGGAAATATAGACAGACTGGTGCAGACAAGAGCTTTTGCCCAAATAAGGATCCCTTTTTGGAGACCCCATGTGTTAGATAACCATCAACTGACAGTTGGTCATGAGTTAATAATGTTGGATGCTGAAATATGCATACCATGTTGCTATAAAAAAGTTTGGAGGACAAAGACAAATACTGGTAAAGTTAGGTATCAGAAACATACCAGAGGTGTGCAGACTGCTTCCCTGGCTGTAGGTGGAACCTGCCAAGTAATTTCATTTAAAAAAATGTTATAAGTACTACACAGTAGAATGTGTAATATTCACTGCACAATTTGCTGGTGTTGTAGGGATTTGCTCTTAATCTCTCTGCGTGTTACTGCCTTCAGTGCTATAGCAACTCCTGCCTTCTAAGAAAAGAAAATATTTCCTAAGCTTATTTCCATTGCTACCATTGCTGTTCTTTTTTTTTTTTTTTTTTTTTTTTTTTTTTACAATGGGGACCCTAACAGGAGGGGTTGGGGAGGGTTTCCATAAAAGAATCCAGGTGGATGTGTGGCCCTTTGATTGGCCTGTTGTATTTGGAGGGCTGTTAACGTCTAGTTCTGTTTCCGTGTTGTTGCTGCCACGGGAATCAAAAGGTGAGGGGTAGAGGGAATAGGATTTCAGCCACCGTGACCAGTTATTTGGGAGGCTGGGACATTGGGCCAGGTGGCCACGGAGCAGCTAGTGTCTTCTTGGAGTGACACCCCAATGGCCATTCGTGCTAAGAATGAATGCGGAAAGAATGTGTCTCCTCCTCTGCCCCCTAGAGTTCAACCCTTTTTGTTCTATCGACTTTTCGGGGCTTATCGGAGTGCTTTGTCGTCACTGAATAATCTCACTTTTCGTTGTATAGCACCGTGGGACTTGAAGCACCTTGGCAAAGCCAAGAAGGCCATGCCCTTGGGTGCCTTTAGGACTGACTCTATCTGATCTCTCTACTTACTTGCAAATGAAATCTCCAAAAAGGAAAACACACCCAGACCATGAATTTATTCAACAATTTGTGGTTAAGAAGCTTCTACCTTCCAACCAGCCAAAAATCATTCAAGGTCTGTTTTCTCTTACTCAGTTTGCAAATGGCTTACATTATACCCAACCCCTGTTGGTAACTAGAGAGAACACTTAGTAAAAATAATAATTAGACAGCCTCTTTTTCTCTGTCTCTTCTCCTCCTTCCCCCCAAGTGCCCTGTCAAGGCTTAACATTTGCTTTGACATCTTAGTTAAGGAAGTTAATGAAATAATGTCTTCATTGGGGCCATTGAGTAACCTGGAGTCAATGATTACCAGATCTGAATTTTGCAAAGGAAATACCTCAGCTTTGGCAAAATTCTCAGAGACTAACATCGATGCGTGACTATCCTTACATATAACAGTAAATAAAATCCTAAATTTCAGTGACACTTTGAATCACCACTTTGCTGATGATTCTGGCTTCAGATGTTAATCTTGTTCTGTCTACTCTTTAACACATTTTCAAGGACCTATCTGTAATCATAACATTGAATTGTTGACTAAACCAGCAGCCCCCAAGAGAAAGATAATGCAAGCCACATGTAACTTACCATTTTCTAGCAACCACATTTTAAAAGGTAAAAAGAAACAGGTAGAATTAATTTTAATAAAGTGTTTTACTTAATCCAGTATATTCAAAATATCACTTCAATATGGAATCAATATAAAATGTTATTAATGAGCTATTTTACATTTTGTATCTTGTCCTGGAAATCCAGTGTGTACTTTATGCTTATGGCACATCTTAGTATGGTACCAAATTTCAAGTGCTCAGTAGCCCCACGTGGATAGTGGTGACCATGTGAGACAGAGCAGCTCTCAACGGTCATAGAAACGTTTTATCTTACACTGAAAAAAATGGGAGGGAGTTCTAACCTCTTCTGTGTATTCTCTTTGTTCATCTGATGACTGTCTGTCCACATTTCTCCACAATGTGACATACACTCAGTCCCACTACCCAAGCACTCTAGCTTGCCCTGCCTCCTCACACACAACCCATTCTGGACCCTCGCTCCACTCGGCTTCAACACATTTTCCAGTATAGTGGCTCCTATGTAGCCACAAGCAAATGAAGCTCAGACATGGTGCTGGTAGCTCACGGAAGAGAAAAGGGCTGGGCGGCCTTTACCTGAGCAAAGAAAAATGTCTGAGAGCTTCAGACAAACAAGAATAGCCATCTTTTTACTTTTAAGTAAGAGACTTGTCCAACTTCTTCAATTATTCTTTCTGAAAGGTAGAAAAGCATAAAGAGTGTGAAAAATCCCTTTTAAGTATAAATTCCTTTTGGGATCTCTTAAAAAAGAGATTGGAAGCTTATTACTTGATGACCTTTTACTTTTTCTTGTATGTACGTGTTTGAAAAACTGAAATTTCTCTCATAACATATTAGTTCAAGTCTGTAAGAAGTTAAACACCTCTATGTTAATACACACACACACACACACACACACACACACACACACACACACA